CTCGACCGTACGATTTGTGACACCGTGATAAATTCCATCACTGCACAAAAACAGAGCACGGGAACCATGAGAGGACAGCAGCGTTTGTGTTTCGGACCGGTCTGTGCAATGAAAACACAGTCTCATATATAAGCAACGCCCAAGAATTTTTCAATAGAATTTAGCCCTCAACCGGATACCTTGCTCGATTCCGTACGGAAATATTACGCTGATGTCGATGCAAGCATCCGGGCTAGCTCAAAACTTGACGATGGATCACGAGCCGACCAAACAAATGCTCTCCCTGTTTGAAACTTGTCATCTGTGCAGTGTTAGAATTTTATGCCAAATAATTGGACCGAGTCCTGCGCTTCCGTGAACGGTATTTGCTTTCTTTCGCTATATTTTTCACCTCTACTGCCCAGTTTTTTCGTATTCGCTGACTTGATTATGGCCCCACTATTACCTGATCATACCTTCGCATTCCCGGCTAATTTCTTGGGCATTTCTCTCGACAACTAACAAGCAACAACCAAATCCCACAATATCCTCAATATTGAAATAAGGCAAAAAAGGAGTTTTTTGAGCACAAAGAAATTACTTTATTTCGCAGAAAAAAAAACCGCCCGATCATTTTGGGCATCACAGACTTCTCTGCACCACGTACTGTTTTGAAAAGCCCTACGAAAAAGTACAACATTTGCGAGGAAGAAATGAACCCAAAAGAAGCAAATTACAGCAAAAAAAAACTTCTGCACTCGGATGACGCGGCACTTGTACCACTAGGACTACAGGACAGGAAAATTCCAATCCACAAACAACATAAATGATAAAGGAGCAAAACATACTGATGATCTCGTGAAAGATCCTGACAAATTACCACAATCATCAAAGAAATCATAAGGGATTTGAAATATTCGTGAAACACGATTACTTTTAAGCAAAACAATCATTTCGTGGGGAACCGTTCCGCGCACCTGCACCGGAAATCTCCTTGTATTTACCGATACTGTGCCGTTTTCTAGATTACAGAAGGCAACCTGCGGTAATCCAGTTCCTCCTGCGCAGGGCTTTCTGTCCGACTTCTTCACTACGATGAAGGCGCATCGCCTCTCCGGAAGCCATCCAAGTGGTCGTTTCCTTTTTGGCCGCTCCCACTTACTGATAGGCGTCGTCCATCAGTCGTCAGCAGAGCGAACAACGCAGAAAAGAGACCTTAAAAAGGATAATGCCCGATCCTTGGAAGCAGCTCGGCTCATCCAACATCACTTTACGGCGAGCGAAATTTCACTTTTTGCCAAAAAAAATCAAACGAAAAGCAAGCAACTGATGCAAACGCATTTAAAAATTGTTCAAATTCAGCGACATTTTCAAACTGACGTAAGAAAAGTAAAAGAGGCAAGAAGATTTAATAGAAATTTAAGCCCGGCTTGGCCGCTGCCGTGGACTGTGGCTGATCTTTCAGCACAGTTATAAACTTCCACATTTTTGGAAAAAAAAAA